TCTTCTCTAAACTAGAACCTAAAATACCGTTTCTACGACTACAATCACATGAGTCCCTATTATCACATCTGATGAATTCTACTGACTATTTTATTAACATCCAATTAATTTCATTTATATCAACTTGCTTTGAATTGAGAGACAAACTTATCTCCGGAATAATTAATCCTACTGATGGTTAGAAATAAACAATGATTAATAAGTTTCAAATTATTTTAAATATTTAATTTACAAGGAATCAATGAGTAATTTCAAGTAGCTTTTGCAATACTGTAATACTTTGTTATGGTCATGCAAATAAAGCTTATTGTTGTTGTTGTTGTTGCCTACTCGTCAAGATGGCGTCGAAAACCGTGACAAGGTCTATTTGCTTATCTGTCTATTTAATACACAAATGGTATCAAAGCTTTTCGATCAGCTGGATAATCAGGAAATTGATTCTGGTGATTATGCCTCGCACGGGGAACAAATGTTGCACTGCTGAAAAAAAAAACAGAATAACCCGGCTTCCCAAAAGCCCAACCAAACCAATCCAGCATTGCACCAAGTAATTAGGGCATGATATGACTTCAAATAAATAGCCATGCGGAATGGAGTTACCTTCACTGTAGTTTGTTCTTAGCTCGCGAAGTGACAGGTCTGCGTAGCGATTGATGATAAAGCTTGCCAAAACTAAAACTATGCAATTATAATGCGAGGGTCCTTGTAGTAGTGGTCACTGTTGTCTGCTGCACCAATCCAATCAGAATTGAGAAAGCTGTACGGAACATTGGGGAAAAGCCCTCCAAGTGGTTTTCCAATAGGGGTCGTTGGACTGCTGCATTTCATAATCTAGGGGTGACACTGTCATAGGCAATAGAATGTTATCTTCGGATAGACATATGTCCAGGAAGTGTAGAATTTTGTTAAATTTGTTGTTCTTGCTATTTTTGCCATATTTGTTGCTCAATCTTTTATAACAGAGCAAGAAAAATTCTTGTTACCTTTGGGATTCTAACAAATTTGCGGACTTCACGAAGGCCTTCATGAACTTTTCCACTTTTGCGATTTTCATATAGCAAGAAAAATTCTTGTTACTTTATTTGCGAAATTTGCTATTTCTTCTATACTTTTTTGATAGCAGTTGTCTTTACATCTTTTTTGCTAAAATTGCGAAAAGAACTTGTTAGCAAACTTTTGCTAACAAGATCGATCCTGGACATAGGTGATCTCTTGGAAGTCTAATTCTAATTTACCGACGAGCGCGCACCTTACATTCATAGGAGAGTCACGTACCCGAGGCAGCGTGGACCCATTGTTTGTTGACGATTGAGTTATTTTTGAAAAAAAAAAAAAGTTCAATGTATGGACCAAGAAAATCTGCCTGGAAATGGTCGTTTTCCAAACGCTATCCAGAGGTGTCGGGAGCGGTACATTCACATGACTGTATTGAAGGCATCGTACCGCGTCATGCCTGGGGGATTGGGAGGGGAGGTCGTTGATCGCCCTCTGAGATCGATTATCGTCAACTGGACATGCATTCAATGTGCTCGCTTACGGGCGGTTCGACTGTTGTCAGTTATACAAAATATGTTAAAAAAGCATAATGGACGTTAGATAATAAAAAAAATAGTTTTAAAAATGTATATCCATTCCGTTATATTATCAGCAAAATCATGTTTTACACTGATGTGTCATATCTGCTACATACCGTAAAAGTTAACTACACATGTTGACGGTAAAATATAAAATTACGTAATCAGTTCTTATAACAAACTATGTTCTCTATACTTATGAAAACATATTGCAAAAATAAAAAACGTTTTAGACACTACGACTCAGAGCACTTTTCAGTTAACGCCTATCTGTTTCCTTGAGCAAGTTCGTTTTGTAATAGGTTCAAAAATGCCCAGCACTCGACCGATCAGAAAAAAGTGGATACCATTCGTTCCTTCGTTCATATTTTCCCGCGTATGACTGAGCAGCAGCTATGTATTGTATTTCCGGGTCTCATTTCTTCAATAAATTGTCCGCGTCAATTGTGATTACCCGGAGTAACTATTTGCATTTCGTTTTACAACACTTCATTAAAACTAATTTTCTTTGAAAAGCGTAATTTTTAAAACTATGAATGCTTTATCAGACACTTCACACATAAATAAAAACCGATCTATCTAAACTTGTACGTAAATCCAAAAAATATCTTAAACAAACATTACACAATTCTTTGATGTATACAAATGCTTAACTACTTTGTAAGTACTATCTATACTTTAATCATTGTAACAAATTTAATTTCTATGTAAATTGTATTCTTATTTGAGAAATATTTGCTGTATTACAATACGGAACTTTTTTTCATAACTACAAATACCTAACTAATATACAAATTTAATTCTCAACTTCAGTACCTAAAGACTATTAAGAGTTCCCCCTTCCTCCCCCTGTCCCCCAAAAGCGTAACTTTTATTATAAATTTCTGGGTATTGCAGTCGCCCCAAGAGAAATTGAAGACAATGCTTGTGTAAATTTTGGGGGTCAAACGAGGTGTATTATGGGAGATGTGCAAATGGCGAATAGACCAACAAATAGACCAGTTTTCATTTGTGTTCCTAAACCTACGTCACGACTACGTCACTGCTCCGGTCCGACCATGAGGGGACTAATGCGAATGGTGGAACAAAATGGCGGCAAATTTCAAGGACTTAAAAACTCATTAAAAAAATCGGGTTTCGTCGGAATCAACAAATGTCTTAGGGGAACATCACTCCTTGATGTGTAAATTCGGATGAGAGAATAAAAAATTCATTAAGGGCACTTTAACTTCAATTATCTTTACACTAAAAATACCTCAATCAATAACTACTCTGTAAACTGTATTCTTAACAACAAATAATTTAAGTAACATGTAAATTGTATTTTAAACCATAAATATCAGGTACAGTGTAGATCCGTACAAAACCTGAAAAAACAGCCAACATTTCGCGACGCCACCACTGGTTTCCCCGCGAAATGACGTCTGAGAAACGATCGAAGAAACTCCACACTGATGACGTGTCACCACCCATTTCTGAGCAGTGCTTCTGATGGGTTGAAGCGAATTTCCCTCGCGGCACGACCAATCAGAATTATTTACCAGATCTGGGTAGTGAAACGTCAGCAGTATGACATTGGACAGCTTAAGAAGCAACGTTTTTGAGAAACGCACGTCAACCGGAAGTGAGCGTTTTTTCTCTTTTAATGCCTTAACGCCACCATATTTGTATGGCTAAGTGGCTTTACTCTTACAGACACGATTTGCCCAAAGGATTGTTCAAAATCACGGCCGAAGAGTGCAAAAAGTCCACTTCCGGTTGACGTGCGTATTACTGCGCTCGTTCCTCAGTTGTCATTTCGCGGGGAAACTAGTAGTGGCGTGGCAAATTCGTCTGTTTTCTCAGATTTGTCTGCACAGGGAAAATATGCGGCTGGTATAACAAGTATTAATCAAGCTATTCCGAACTTATGAAGTAATGGGAACCTTACAAAGCTACGACGACAGCGACGGGGCAAAGATTAAACAGCTACTCTGTATGCATCTGCATAAGCTTTTCTGTCAATTTCTTTGAGGTCCCTACACAACTACGTCGTGAAATGGCCAAATTTAAAGTTTTCTTGAGAACGTGAACGACAAGACGACCAATTTAATTTTATTGTATCTTATTAAAACACTGAACTAGTTGGAGTAATCCGAAAATTTTAAAAGCTGGACGCGAAGTTTTCCAGTGACGTTTACACTGGTGTTGCTGGACTCACATCGCAAGGTCCCTACTGTAATAAGTGTTGCTTTAACCATTTTTGGTTGATACCTTGACCATACTGTATCTGTCATAAGTTGTTATAAAGTAATACGGGGATGAAAGCGTCATAATGTTAGCGTGTACCGAGTTCTCTGCCTTGAAATTCCAACTGCTATGTCGTTCTTCCATAACTATTGTCAGCAGTCACCATTAAGAATTGTTATTTAACTGCTCCAGCTTCTCAATAATCTCTTCCATGCTGGGTCTCATGTCTGGATCTTCTTCAATACACCACAGTATCAGCTCTCCAAACTTCTTGTTAGGTACCAGTCTCGCTTGTTCCTCCCGCTTTTCAGGTTCTGGCAGATCCCCGGTGCACATTTCACAGAGGAGAATTCCAAAACTGTAAACATCAATCTAAGACAACAAAACAAATTACCTGAATTAAAGTCCATCTTCGTTTTTACTTGCTACCTGTTCCTGTTACGCTACAAAAGGTCATGAAACGTTCATATGCCCAATCTCTCTGTTGAGGGTGGGAACCTAACAACAGAGACTTTAACATTGAGGAAACGGAAAGCACGAAATGTAACACCAACACGTAACCAAGCTTTCAATTTACTTGTCTTCTGTTGTTCATTTCTTCCACACAAAAATTAGTAGTTTCACATTAAGTTTATCTATAAAAATTGTTTTGGACTATTTTTGTCTGCTTGTTTTCTATTTTGAGAAATTCGCAACTTGAATCTTACTTCTGCTTTTGCCATATGCTTTCACCCTAAATATCTCTAAAGTAGGCTAGTTGATGGCCTTGAAATATGCTTTACCATTGCCAATACTTCACCACGAACAGTTAGAGTAAAGGTTGTTTTGCCTGAAGGCCCCGTTATAGGGGCAAAAGCTGCTAAATTTCAATATCGGGATCCTGAAAAGGTATTATTTCTTGTTTTTGCTTGAATAACTAAAATAAAGAATAAACACTGCATTAGATAATTTCACAGAAAAATAGGAGGAAAAAAACAATAGAAGCAAAACAAACTGTACATTTTCACAACCCTCCTGAAATTGCTCTTTAAATGGAACAGTCGAGAGTCTGGCGTCAGTGGTGACTACAGTATGAAAGAAAACATTTTTCCATAGCCATAATAACTACATGAGAAGTTGGAATAGATATTAGTGTTGTTCATGCTGAGGCAATTGCTCAATTTACACTGGATTTAAGGAAGATGATTAAAATTTAATTTACCAACTGATTCCATATAATAGACTTACCTTCACAGTTTGCTTGAAAGGACAACCTATTTCAGGCGCGGCGTAAATCATAGCTCCAGGAGCAACTGTCATAGTTTCTTGAAGAAATTTTGCAGTTCCATAATCCCCCAGTTTGCCTCTCCACTGGTTATTCTGTTTCCACAGCAACACATTAGCGCTGCTCACATCACGATGTACAATTGGTTCAGGTTTTCGTTGATGAAGGTAGTTTAGGGCTCGAGCAACATCCAAAGATATAAAAATGATTTCTGTTTCGGTGAGATGTTGATTCTGTTTTTGACGCTCCCCTAACAATTTTCGTAAACTTTTTTCCATGATTTCTGTAACAAACAGAGGCCTTTCGTCTTGGGTAGCCCCAATGAATTGTAACAAACAAGGATGGCGGCACCTTGAGGCTATATCCATTTCCCGTTCAAACAAACGGCGCTCTCGTTGAGTAAGAGTCAGTTGATGAAGCTGTTTTATAGCCACAACACAGCCACAATATCTACCTTTCACAACTCGTCCTAACGCCCCCGCGCCCAGACTTTCATCACTTAACTGAACGTCATCTCGGCAAAGGACCCAGTCACGTGCCTTTAACTGACTTTCATATTCAGTTAATTTTTCTTTAGCTGTGAAAAGGTCTTTTTCGAGCACAACGTTATCTTGTTCACGATCTCTTAACTCTTTTCGTAAGTCGGTCAGTTCTTGCACCTTCACATTTAATTGTTCTTGGAATTTAGCGCTTTCTTTCTTTTTATCACCTTCTAAAGTGCTCAACTGTCTTTGTAAACGCTGGTTTTGCTCACTTTTCACACTCAGTTGGTTTTTTGTCCTCCTCAGTAGCTCATCTTTCTCCTCAACTTGCTTGTCTTTTTCTCGCAGTTTCTTCTCGTTTATTTTAAGCTGCTCATCTTTCAGTTGTAGTTGCTCCTTCGTCCTTCTCAGTTGTTCTTCAGTTCTTTTTTGTTGACCAGATGTGTCTATCACTGAAGAAAATAAAGACAATAATGATGATAACAATGAAACGAAAATTACAAATCGTTAGATTGTATAAATCCCTGGAGACCACAGTCCTCGGGAATGAACATGGAAGAATATCTAAGCCCTCAGGATTGGTAGATCTGATCTCTTAAATATTCACCTCCCCAGATACAGTAAAACCCACGTTTAAAAACCTAGTGGGTTAAGAAAGTCCTAGAAGAAATATGTCACTTTAATACCCAAAAATACAAAAACATGTTTAGCCAGGTAAGATCATACAGGTTCTTATATGTAGGTTACAGGTAAATTATGATAAATTTTTTAACCAAAGGAGTTTGACTTTGAGATTTCAAATTTAGATTACAAATTATAAAATGACTAAGTAAGTACGCGCGCTCTGATTGGCCGAGAGGAGTGTTTGCATGAGAGTATGTAAACGCAGTTGTGACGTCAAAGTGTTTTGCTTTTCGCGCACTAAACATACACAAACGAATTCGAAAGGGGCCTGAGTTGAAACCTCTAGAAGTTTACTTTACCCATTTCGTCGTCGGCTGAAACTTGGAAAATCTTTACAAACTTGCTCTGTCAATTTTTTTCGCTTAAGCTAACAATTTAAGCAGAAAAATCCGTATTTTGGAAAGTATCTCTTCTGAAAAACAAGAACTGAAAACGGGAAAATTAATTTAAAAAAGCAATAGAAAACTTTTTTTTCTTTGTTTGCATGGACTGATATAAACACTCGAGGGGTTGGAAGACCGTTACGCAAACCCTCGACTTTGTCTCGGATTTGCATAACTGTCCCGAATCCTCCCAAACCCTCTCTTGTTTATATCAGGCAATGCAAACACGGAAAAGGTGTTCTTTGCTTAAAACGTACTTGAGTTATCAACGTCATTTATTTACTTTGTTTTTGTTGTTTTATTTATACAACTCTTGTTATAGAAATAACGCTACATAATATAAATTTACCTGTGACCAGTTTTGTTAGGCTTGTCCGTGCAGCTGTGAATAAAAGTTTTAAAAAAAGTTTATATATTGTTTCTGATAGGCAACAACTATTTCTCTCAATCTCTCAACAACTGTTTCTATTGATCAGGTAATTGTCCTTTCACTTATCGAAAGCGGCCTTCGCGTCTTAGTCTTCCACGCAGGCGTTTCTTGGGGAGTCGTACTTCCTCCGTCCCCTAAAAACGATTACAAGGGAGGCTGTTCGCTTCTAAGATTGTACCGTAGCGTTCCGGGAAGCAGGGCTATAGACCAACTGCATGTAGTGTCCTGGTAGCGTGGACTCTTGATGACTTATAGCCACCATCACCATGGTGTATGCACACACGCAGTGTTAAACATCTCGATCTGGTAGCAATGAAATAGCGTTATACGATCCCTTATTCAGGTCGAACCAGTCAATATACAAAGAAGTATGCGAACAAAATAAAGACTGCGTCACTGGACATTGCACAACAGGACTTACCAAGAAAAGTATCAGGAATTTAAAGTATCAGAACACTTGTATCACCATTTTAGCAAATAAGAATATACAAAAGCATCATACTGTTAGTTACAGAATCCTTATAAATCAGTTTCCTTAAAGTCGCTGAACTTATCTGTATTACTATGTATTCGGGACCCACTACAGCTTTTATATGCAAGGTACTTGGACACTTATAACTACTCACTTCAAAGAAAGAGTACGTAACAGTTTTAGCATGATGATTACCCCTCGGAGGCGAAGATATGTATGAAAGTGAACAGTATATGAAATTTCATAGAAGTACAAAGAAGTATATCAAAGGAATAAGATGTATCAAGGCTGCTTTTACTATAATTATAGCCATTACATAACAGGACATGCCAAAGACTTGCTTACACATGTATGACCATTTAGCAAAGACAGAGGATGTCAGTACACATACCATATTAAACTGTTTCTTGCGGTGCCCTTACAAGTCAACAGACATCTCTGCCATCCCACAACACTAAACACTTAACTGACAATTGAAAGCAAGTACCACATTTAACGTTAACTACACATTTGACTAAAAGTGTGCGAAGGTACTGTAGTACCGTACTGTCCGATAGGATATGAATAACCTTCAAAGAAATCAGTTCACGATTCCAATGTTTGCATGTTAGTATCTGCACAATATTATCACCTCGGTTTTAGGTCTATGAAACTGCTTACGTAAGGCTAATCTACATTAACGTGGATGAAAGAATATTACTGACAAACCACACGTGTCACTCATTTCATACTGCACCCGTAACGCCTGATCATACACCGGGCATTTCACCAAATCAGTTGAGTTTTACATACTAGTGACTTGCCCTCGACTCACCAAGCTATTTTTGTAAGAATGTGCTGCTGTCTCACCCGCCAAATTTCAATGCTACGATGAAAATCGGAAGAAATTTCGGCTGCACACTTTCATCGGTGAAGGTGGGGTGGGGGAGGGAGCTGGGAGGGGATAACCGAGTGCAGTCCAGTTGCGAGTGAACGTTTGAGTGGGGTGTGTTATATTGTCTTAATAGTGTATATTAGGGATGTCGTCTTTTTACGTGCCACACCATATGGTCTTGGAGCGTCTCATATTTTATCTATTCCCAACTGTAATACAACATCATATGGACTAACTTGGGTCAGATAGTTAGGGCCTAACTTATGGAATTTTCTCACAGATAATATAAGATTATCTCAGGATCTTCGTTCTTTCAAAAACATAATATGCAAAATTGACTTTGCTGGTATGCAGTCATCATTATATCTTTTATTATGTTCAATTTTATTTTAGGCATTTTGTAGCTTTAGTACTTTTTGCTCGCTCAAACTAGCACGAGTGCGCTATATATTGTAAGCGAGTTTCAATAAAGATTCTATCTCTGCTGCTAGGATTGGCAGTGATGCATGCAAAACAATTTACTGGATTCATATATGACACACGTCTTACATACTGCTAGGATCAGCAATGATGAAAGAGTGCTGTATAATGATACACAGACACTGATAGTAAGGCTACTAAAACATTTACTAGGTTCATATGTAACACACGTCCTACATACTGCTAGGATCAGCAATGATGAAAGAGTACTGTATAATGATACAGAGACACAAATGGGAAGGCTACTAAGTCATTTACTAGGTTCATATGTGACAGACGTCCTACATACTGCTAGGATCAGCAATGATGAAAGAGTACTGTATAATGATACAGGGACACTGATGGGAAGGCTACTAAGTCATTTACTAGGTTCATATGTGACACACGTCCTACATACTGCTAGGATCAGCAATGATGAAAGAGTACTGTATAATGATACAGAGACACTGATGGGAAGGCTACTAAGTCATTTACTAGGTTCATATGTGACAGACGTCCTACATACTGCTAGGATCAGCAATGATGAAAGAGTACTGTATAATGATACAGGGACACTGATGGGAAGGCTACTAAGTCATTTACTAGGTTCATATGTGACACACGTCCTACATACTGCTAGGATCAGCAATGATGAAAGAGTACTGTATAATGATACAGAGACACTGATGGGAAGGCTACTAAGTCATTTACTAGGTTCATATGTGACAGACGTCCTACATACTGCTAGGATCAACAATGATGAAAGAGTACTGTATAATGATACAGAGACACTGATGGGAAGGCTACTAAGTCATTTACTAGGTTCATATGTGACACACGTCCTACATACTGCTAGGATCAGCAATGATGAAAGAGTACTGTATAATGATACAGAGACACTGATGGGAAGGCTACTAAGCCATTTACTAGGTTCATATGTGACACACGTCCTACATACTGCTAGGATCAGCAATGATGAAAGAGTGCTGTATAATGATACAGAGACACTGATAGTAAGGCTACTAAAACATTTACTAGGTTCATATGTAACACACGTCCTACATACTGCTAGGATCAGCAATGATGAAAGAGTACTGTATAATGATACAGAGACACTGATGGGAAGGCTACTAAGCCATTTACTAGGTTCATATGTGACACACGTCCTACATACTGCTAGGATCAACAATGATGAAAGAGTACTGTATAATGATACAGAGACACTGATGGGAAGGCTACTAAGCCATTTACTAGGTTCATATGTGACACACGTCCTACATACTGCTAGGATCAGCAATGATGAAAGAGTACTGTATAATGATACAGAGACACTGATAGTAAGGCTACTAAAACATTTACTAGGTTCATATGTAACACACGTCCTACATACTGCTAGGATCAGCAATGATGATAGAGTACTGTATAATGATACAGAGACACTGATAGTAAGGCTACTAAAACATTTACTAGGTTCATATGTGACACACGTCCTACATACTGCTAGGATCAGCAATGATGAAAGAGTACTGTATAATGATACAGAGACACTGATGGGAAGGCTACTAAGCCATTTACTAGGTTCATATGTGACACACGTCCTACATACTGCTAGGATCAGCAATGATGAAAGAGTACTGTATAATGATACAGAGACACTGATGGGAAGGCTACTAAGCCATTTACTAGGTTCATATGTGACACACGTCCTACATACTGCTAGGATCAGCAATGATGAAAGAGTACTGTATAATGATACAGAGACACTGATGGGAAGGCTACTAAGCCATTTACTAGGTTCATATGTGACACACGTCCTACATACTGCTAGGAACAGCAATGATGAAAGAGTACTGTATAATGATACAGAGACACTGATGGGAAGGCTACTAAGCCATTTACTAGGTTCATATGTGACACACGTCCTACATACTGCTAGGAACAGCAATGATGAAAGAGTACTGTATAATGATACAGAGACACTGATGGGAAGGCTACTAAGCCATTTACTAGGTTCATATGTGACAGACGTCCTACATACTGCTAGGATCAACAATGATGAAAGAGTACTGTATAATGATACAGAGACACTGATGGGAAGGCTGCCAAGCCATTTACTAGATTCATATGTGACACACGTTTTACATACTGCTAGGATCAGCAATGATGAAAGAGTGCTGTATAATGATACAGAGACACTGATGGGAAGGCTACTAAGCCATTTACTAGGTTCATATGTGACAGACGTCCTACATACTGCTAGGATCAGCAATGATGAAAGAGTACTGTATAATGATACAGAGGTACTGATGGTAAGGCTACTAAAACATTTACTAGGTTCATATGTGACACACGTCCTACATACTGCTAGGATCAGCAATGATGAAAGAGTACTGTATAATGATACAGAGACACTGATAGTAAGGCTGCCAAGCCATTTACTAGGTTCATATGTGACAGACGTCCTACATACTGCTAGGATCAGCAATGATGAAAGAGTACTGTATAATGATACAGAGACACTGATAGTAAGGCTGCCAAGCCATTTACTAGGTTCATATGTGACAGACGTCCTACATACTGCTAGGATCAGCAATGATGAAAGAGTACTGTATAATGATACAGAGACACTGATAGTAAGGCTGCCAAGCCATTTACTAGGTTCATATGTGACAGACGTCCTACATACTGTTAGGATCAGCAATGATGAAAGAGTACTGTATAATGATAGAGACACTGATGGTAAGGCTACAAAGCCATTTACTACGTTCATAAGTGAAAGACGTCCTACATACTGCTAGGATCAGCAATGATGAAACAGTACTATAAAATGATACAGAGACAATAATTGTAAGGGTCAATATACTGAATTATTTACTAGTTTCATATGTGACACACGTCCTACATGCTGTAGGATCAGCAATGATGAAAGAGTAGTGCATGTACAATAATATGAAGACACTTATAAAGACACTTCTAAGGCTATTAACTGTCCCTTCTATGTGGTTCTTCCAAGCAAGATCACAGTAGTGTAAATGGACGAAACCACTTGGTAATCAACAAATTGTTACGCAGGGAAATTTTGAATTTTGAACAAAAATAAAACGTACGCCCAACGGGCAGAATAATCACAGGCAACCGATCAAAAGAAGATGAAATTAATATTCAGAATGACTTGCACCCATCGTCTCTACGGGTATTGCTTGTTTTTTAACTGACATTTCTCCAAAAATAGTTCCTCCCTTGAGCGAGCCCTCATTCTTACTGGCATAAAAGTATATGTATTTTAGACTTCGATTCATACAAGACGTATTGATACAGCCTTTTCGATAAAGAGCATTTTGGCAGACGATCAATTTTAAGCGTTAAATTTAATCTCTGCAAACATTTTTTCAGATTATCAGGTAATTACCAAGCTATTACCAGCTGAAGTTACCTTTAACATTCACATCAGCAAAGTGTATTGGGAGTCCATGGCGATCGTCTCCGATGATTATTTTCCGGTAGGGTTGTTAGCTGTGACACTGGACAAGTTTCGTGGGCCGAGAGGCCTGCTTTAGAGCGAGAAGCGGCCGGCGATGGCAATGTGCACATATGACTTTTATCTGGACTGTTGAGCACTCTCCTTCAGTTTACCTTTTGATAATTCTTCTTTAGTTTCTCCATGATTTAATGCATACTAGGATATGATTAGGACTTTTCTGTTGCAAGCGCTTTCATTATTAAAATTCTCTAGGATTTTTATCTTTCGACAGCTAATTCGTACGCTCGCGTTAAAAGAAGTTAAAAGGTAAAGGCGCACACTGTATCACCCACTAATGTAAAAATCGACCACAACTGTAACACTTTAGCTATTCATCTGTTAAGTACTGGAATTCTCTACCTGATCACTTTAGAAAGACTGTAGATTATAGTGAATTTAAGCGCAAATTGTTGGTGCACGGTTTTAGTTAATACTATACATTAATGAATATTATATTATATATGTTGTAACTTTTAAAATTAGTTAGGATCGGAGATACTAGCTATGTAAGCTACACTAAAATCCGAGGATAAATAAAGTTTATGTATGTATGTATGCGTGTGTGTATGTGTGTATGTATGTATGTATGTATGTACACTAACTACTAAAAGAGGTTGAGTTTGATGGTCCGGGTGAACGCAGTCCTGAATAGGACTGTTGTTGTTGACAGTGACTGACGTTTCGACAATCTGTGCGGTAGTCATCTTCAGAATCAAAGTGAGTTGTATCACGTCAGTTGATGGTATTATGCTCTGGTTATTGATCTGATTGATCAATTACGTCGCGATGTTGTTGGTCGTCTGTCAGTTAAACCGTGATGTTATTGGCTGTGAAGACTCGTAATCAGTTCAGTACAGTATGCGGTCCTTGGTCTGCGTCTAAAAGTCATTAACTTGAATATCTTACCCGAATCTTCACGTAACGAGCTGAAATACTCCCTGAAGATAGCTTTTATGTACCAAGTTCCAAACATAAATATTTTGCTTGGAATTCGAAAAAAGGCGACCGTTTTCGATGGTCCTTCGTCCGCGTCTCAGGTAAGCAGCACGAAAAAAACGTAAAAATGCTATAGTTTCCCCACGAAAACGTGATTTTCACAATATTTCGTGTATTTTTTTTCTTTTCTTCATGCAATTAAGCTACAGTTTTTTTCGGAAGATGTTGTGAGTATAACATAATCTGCTTTTGTTTCAAAGACTTCAGACAACAGTCTCCTTGAGTCTCCCACACGAGCGTCGGCGAGCGGTTTTCAGCGCGGTCGAAAATAATTAATAAAAACTCTGTATGTATTCGAGGTATTTAATAAAGAGAACTTGTAGACATGTATAGGGACGATTTTCAAAACATTCTTCGAAAACAAAGGTCGTCGCTTTTTATTTTGGGAAGTTTTATCCAACCAAGGTCATAAGTCGCGGACCAAGGACCGCTAAGCGAAATTTGGTGATATTTTTCAAGCGTCGATAAAACAAAAAATTCAGAGTCTACAGCAATATGCTTCCAACAGCAGAAATAAGTTGATCTGAAAACCTGTTCTGCAAAAAGGCACGTCTTCCCGTTGCGTTTTATTTATTCGCATGCTAAGTAAACATGACCATGTAATTTACAGTGCCGCAAAAATCCAAACTTCAAGAAATACAAATTAACCTACCTGTCAACAAACTTTAATTTCGCGTCTTCACCCACAGCAAGAAAGCCGAAACTTCGTCATATGAAAGAATGCTTATCAGTAAATCACGATATCTTTCATTATTCAAAGTATTTTTTTTCTCGACGAAATTATTTATCATTTTCGGAAAAGTCGCGGATCAAGGACCACATCCTGTAATTGGTGCGTTTCGATCCGTCTATTGTCACAGTTAAACAGTCGTCTATTGTTAGTCAAATTGTCAGTTCTCCAGTCGTTCTCTCGTAGTTAGTTTTGCTTGATCTCGTCAATAAGTCGTTTGTACGGCGCTGGTAACTATTGGCTACGATTCAGTGGCGTTTGTTCTAAGTTAGTAAACCAGCTTTCTAAAGTAAGACGTTGATAGTAGTCTGTAGAATACGTTATACATGTCGCAGAGTCCCAGTCAATTTGATGTTTCGTCTGTAAATGGTGCTCAGCAATGTGATTGTTGACGTCACCATTCCTCGTCGCTCGTTTGTGTTCGGTCAGTCGAGTGCTTAGGTTTCTACCGGTTTCACCAATGTAAAAAGCCTGGCAGTCGCAGCATTTGATCTTGTATACTGCTTCCTGTCTGTCCTCCGGTTTGTCTTTGTCCTTGACATTAGTAAGCAGTCGCCGTTAAGGTGGCTCGATACAGTTTTTCAGGGTCAATACCTCTCAAGTTTGAGCGTAAACTGCGTCGCCATAAACAAAGATTTGGAAAAATTAACACCACAGTTGTATTAGATAAAGATGAAAATTTGTTATGATCAGGGTTACAATGACATCGGAGTTGTCATAGCAACGAAATGACGCCATTACCTATTTTACTTGCAGCAGTATTTCTCGGCACTGGGAACTGTTCTTCCAAAATCGTTTACTGGAGCTTTTACCTACGATAGCTGCCTCGATGTTCGTGAAGTTTAAGCGAAATCTGTAAGAGCGTTATCGAGATATTTTGGGATGAGGTTTTTTTGGTTAGAAATACGGTAAAAAATTGACAATCTTGATGTTCGACTGTTATCTGTACTAAACGAAGCGCTTTTGACATGCAATTTCACCTCATAGTAGTTTCAATCTTTTTAAAAACGTGTGTGAAAGATCTTGGAGATACCTCCAGCCGATTGCTAGAAAGGAGGATTTGATTAGTATGTATCAAGTCGATCTTGTTAGCGGTGATGTAAACATTTCGGTCTACTTTAACAAATTAGCGAATAATTTTTAAACCACTCGATAAATTTTTTAGAAAATTTAAGAATCTGGAGATTAACCCTCCTTTTATATGACCTCTTAGTTTCAAGATTATTGATATATTGTAAGGCAGTAAAATAAGGGCTTGAATTCGCTAACATTTTGTCAGAAATTTTGTGTTTACAAGTGAGAGCCTCTCATTATTCAGGGTATTGTCTCCAAGTTTCATATTTTCGTGCATAACAATAGCTAGCAGTTTAGCATATGTCAAATGCATTGTTAGTTACTGCTGTTCACGTGAAAATGAAACTTTGAGACAATACCCCTGAATAATAAGAGGCTCTCACTTGCAAAGACAAAATTTCTGACAAAATATTAGCGAATTGTAGCCCTTATTTTACTACCTTACAATATATCAATAATCTTGAAACTAAGAGGTCAAATAAAAGGACGGTTTATCTCAACACTCTTAAATTTTTTAGAAAATTTATCGAGCGGTTTAAAAATTATTCGCTAATTTGTTAAAGTAGACCGAAATGTTTACATCACCGCTAACAAGATCGACTTGATACATACTAATCAAATCCTCCTTTCTAGCAATCGGCTGGAGGTATCTCCAAGATCTTTCACACACGTTTTTAAAAAGATTGAAACTACTATGAGGTGAAATTGCATGTCAAAAGCGCTTCGTTTAGTACAGATAACAGTCGAACATCAAGATTGTCAATTTTTTACCGTATTTCTAACCAAAAAAACCTCATCCCAAAATATCTCGATAACGCTCTTACAGATTTCGCTTAAACTTCACGAACATCGAGGCAGCTATCGTAGGTAAAAGCTCCAGTAAACGATTTTGGAAGAACAGTTCCCAGTGCCGAGAAATACTGCTGCAAGTAAAATAGGTAATGGCGTCATTTCGTTGCTATGACAACTCCGATGTCATTGCAACCCTGATCATAACCAATTTTCTTTTTTATCTAATACAACTGTGGTGTCAATTTTTCCAAATCCTTGTTTATGGCGACGCAGTTTACGCTCAAACTTGGGAGGTATTGACCTTGAAAAACTATATCGAGCCACCTTAAGTGGTTATCGGTTTGTGTGCAACACGTATATTGTATGGTTGTAATATACGTACAGTAGTTTCGGAGGCGCCTCTGATGTACCGTATATTTGCTGTCGTAACAGGGCCACAGTTGGTCTGAGTGATCATGTAACTACTAATGTAACCACTAATGTAATAAATATCGACTACTAATGCAATATTTAGTAATTAATGAATGAGGCTGAGTAGGATATGAAGAATTAAGCAGATCGAGGAGGGTGTGTGCCAAAGCATGCTTACCTTCGTCGATGTTAAGTTCACCTCGGGGGTCTGAAAATTTCATTTGTTGCCGCTTCAAATTTTGTTCACGCTGCCGCGACTCCGTAAGCTGCCTCTGAGAACTCTGTTCCCGTTCCTGAAGCTCTCTGAACTGTCTTTGTAAATTCTCTTCGCGTTGCTGCACATATCTTAACTGCCTCTGGAAATTTTCTTCACGTGGCTGAAAATCTCTCAACTGTCCGGTTTCTAATTCTGAGGTTCGGCTTGTCGAGTTTGCTTCGCGTAGATCTTGCATTTTTTCTGAAAGGATTATTCAAAAACGATACAAAGCAATCAAAATCACTTGAGTACCATGGGCAAACAGACTACGTTTCACCAGGAGCATATGGTTTTACCTACAAAAAACCCTTGACTTAACAGAAAATGCACTGCATTTCTTCTCTTGAAACTGAGTGACAACTGTGCATAACGAAATATTGATAAATAAAATGAAATTTAGAATGGTCCCTTTCGCCCAATTGTCACTTAACATTGCTTGTTTGTAAAACGTCTTCAGCTTGCGAAGTTGAGTTACAACCCTATAGCAGCTGATTTTTGTCCCCCCCCCCCCCCCCCCCCCACCGCCTTTTTTGATTATTATTTTCCAGTGTTAGACAATTCGTTACTCGACAAGGTGCGGAGAGACGAAGATTATGGCGCCAATTAACGCGAAATGTGAAAACATCTGGCCACGGTTGTTCAAATGTTGGATAGCGCTATCCACGGGGTAAATCACTATCCAACGGATAAGTATTGGGGAAACTAATTACACTATCCACTGGATAGAGATTTACCCGGTGGATAGCGCTATCCACCGGGTAAATCACTATCCAATGGATAAGTATTGGGGAAACTAATTACACTATCCACTGGATAGAGATTTACCCGGTGGATAGCGCTATCCACCGGGTAAATCACTATCCAATGGATAAGTATTGGGGAAACTAATTACACTATCCACTGGATAGAGATTTACCCGGTGGATAGCGCTATCCACCGGGTAAATCATTATCCAGTGGATAAGTATTGGGGAAACTAATTACACTATCCACTGGATAGAGATTTACCCGGTGGATAGCGCTATCCAGCCTTTGAACAAAACCTTTAATCCAAAATGCAAAAACGCTTTAACGCAAAATGTAACAAGTTTTGAACGCAAATTGTAACAACGTTTTATTAAACTGGAGATGCAACAATGTAAAATATAAAAATTAAATTCTTCAGCTACATAGTCACTTCTATACCGATAAAAGTTACATGCACTGGAAAAGTGGCTAAGAGAAACTTTTTATGTTGCATTCCTTATTGCAAGGCACATAAGAGGTGTCTAAAAACAGACATTTATGTCCTTTAACGCAGACTGAAAAAAAAAAACGAATCGTGAATATATATCCTATCCTGCGGTGAAGGAGGACATTTCACTTTAGGGGAGGGGTAGGTGGGCAGTTTCCCAGAGACGTATAATGATCCGATAAATCTTAGCAAAAACTTAGTAATCCGGGACTATATACCGGCTGTGTTTTGACCAGAATCTAAAGCCATGAAATGTCATGTTAACTATAAGCACAAGCATGTAGGAACCAGCGTGATATACCGTATAAAAAAAGCCACGGTGTTTCTTAATTTTTAAGATAGAATTGTAATAGTCTGGACGGTGTAGACTAGCCCTAGGCACCTTTTGGAGCAACTTTTAGTTTTTGGGCAACTTGATTAAATTTTAAGCAACATAAGGCAATTAAACAGTCCCATGATACTGTTTAAGCCTTGTTAAGTGAAAATCGATATTTGTGCCCCATCCCCCACCCCTCAGCCACCTAACACCCACCCCTGCTTCTCAATTAAACTACCCGCGGTTTGGGGTCAGCCGTTCGTGCCTTTTTCATAATGATGGCAAACACTGAATCTTCAGTTAGTTTAGGGCAAGAAAATTCTAACTCTCTAACTTTGACTACTATCAGCGAAGCCAAAACGCTTGATGCAAATCTAAGTAAGCCTGAAAACGCTGCAATAGCTACAAAACCAAAGAGAACAAAGATATTGATCTCATGAAGGAATTTCGACTCACAGCGTTCTTTTTCACACGATACTGACTGATTTATGCGACCAATACGAATTTTTTTCCTTTATTGTAACTATTTCGTGATATATAATTGTCATGAACTATTTCTCGGCAATCACGTGTAAAGTAAAATCACTTAATTAAGTACTCTTATTTTCTTATTGCACAGGAAAACGAAAGACATTCCACAGTTGTGCGTTTGAATGTCACCTGTAGCAGTTGTGTTTACAAACAGGGCAAAGAAGGAAGTAGTTTTGAATTGCGTTGTTGTAATTAATCAGTGGCGTTTGTCTTAAAAACGCGAAAATGGCTGTCACTCATGTCATTTTGATTTTACTTAAGGAGCAACTTTTTGTAAAATTCAAGCAACTTCAAGCAACTTTTTCGAAATTTTGGAGCAACTTGTGGCTAGGGCCAGTGTAGACTACCAATTGTACCGATTTTTTTTTAATCCTCGAATAAACGCCGCATTCCTCTTGTTGTGTGCGGCGATTATTCGAGAACAGCGTTAATTGAACGTTTATTCCAGGGCAGCGTTTACATGTAATTGACTAAACACGGTGAGCCTATTGAAAGAACAGGTATAGAAGGGTTAAAAATAGTTTTTCTTAGACCCATCTCGTTTGGTAAGTTTAATTGCTCGATTATTTACCCTTCCGAAAGCGTGCAAAGAAATATTCAAAGATTTTTCGATTCAATAAAGCGCAATAATTTTTGCATCGAACACCTTGATATGGCGGGTCTTGTGACAATCCTTAACAAGGAGGCTTACACGCTCACGCTTGCCAGGTTTTCCTTTTCTTAACAGCTTTATTTGCTACATTTTGCTTTGTAACATTTCGCGCAAAAGAAGTTGTTACGTTTTGCACTAAAAATTTATTACACTTTGCGTTATGTAATTCCTACATTTTGTTCAGAAAGCTGTTTTACAATGCTTAATGCCATTGCATTTTGCGTTAATTCTATCAATTATAATATTTTGCGGCGTAACAGAAACGGAAAGGTCGAAAGTAGACCAAATTTAAAAGCGTTCAGAACGCGACTTTGTTTAACACCGTTTAACACCTTGCACATGAACACAGGATTTAACCATATGTCTTTAAATTCAAAAATCAAAACCTACAGACTATTTAACTTCTCACACCAACAGCTTGGGCTGCCTATCATTGACTGACTAACTGTACAGGTTTAACCAATATGCCGTCAAATTCAAAAACCAAAACCAAAACTAACTAGTCACACCATAAGCTTGGGCTGCCTGTATCCATACATATGTACGGGTTTTATCATAATTCAAAAACCAAAACCTAACTAACTACTGACACCATAAGCTTGGGCTGCCTGTATCATTGTCTGACTGCACCTGTACGGCTTTATAAGAACCAAACTAACTACTGAACTCTCGCCATAAGCTTGATCTGCCTGTATCTATACACTACATCACGTACAGCTAGAGGTTCAACCATGTGCCTTTTTGTTGCAAAACCAAAATCAAAAAAAGTATTAGAAATTACATTTCATACTCTTAGTCTTACCTTTGATAGAGGCGGGCAACTTTTGGATAAAAAGCTCAAGCTCATTTGGATCAGCATCTTTCAGTTGAACAGTATATCCTTTTGAACCATACCAATTCCCTATAGCTAGGTCACTAATTGTAACTGTATCCTTGGTGACCTTCATTGTAGTTTCAGGCAGAATGTAAAACTGAAACGGTAAGGAAAGACAACGATATAAATTAAGTTTTGCAGTCAAACCTGTATGACCCGGTCATACTTGGGAATGACTTACTCACCGCTTAATGCTGGGTGCGGGTTTGCAAACCTAAGAGTTAGTCATGGAAATGAAGATGGTGATAGAGCGAAATATCTATCCCACGACATATTGACCTCAAACTGTTAGTAGCCTTCTTGTGCCAAAATAAAGGAAGTAAAAGCAGACTTATCAAGTCTCACGACTTTGTCATGAGTCTCACGATTTTAGGACCTGTCTCGCACTCGCACGAGTTGGCAACTGATTTCTCACGCGTATAAGCTTTCCCGAAAAGTCAAACTCCAAACACTTTTGGACTGTAGGGTCGATTCTAAGTTAGATATCAATAGATAGTCAGCTCAACTCAAAGAAAACGGTAATAGAATGTAATCAAACGCGACTATTCTTTTAGCCTATCGCGCAACTTGCCGCTGCCACCAAATGTGGAGACTTACTGTTTCTCTTGTCTCAAGATGGCGCCAACAAAACATACAAATTACAAAAACTAAATCGTAAAATTGATCGTGATGTTTACTGTTCCAGTTTTAAAGTGATATGGTGATTTCCAAAACCCATAATCTCCACTGAACGTCCTCCACTAGGACATTTGGGACACCTCACGACTTTTTAGCCATTTCTCACTACTTTTCCCTGTTCTAGGTTCAGAATCTCACATTTTTGCCTTTCGGGGCTTGGTAAGTCTGTAAAAGACCACTAAACACCCTACATAGTGTATCCTTTTGCACTGGTATGGCACATCTTGACAAAGGGACAGTTTAATGGAGGGAAAGACAATAACAAATTACTCATTGGGACCTCGAAAACAGGTGACCACGTCTGCTCAATAGAGGTACCTTATTCTCCTTTATTTTCGCGGGACTTGAATTTCGCGAAAATTTTCTCGGCACATTTCGCGCATCTTTAATTTCGCGATCGCGGAGAAAAATTGTGTTTGCAGGGAATTTAATTCCGCGAAATTGTACGTTAATCAACGACGGTGCAGGCTTTAAGATGGTCAATTCTAATCAAGATTTCATCAAACATTCATTTTTGTGTGGAGTTCGTGGATTCCATGTTTACAACGAAATTTGTAAGCCCATCGTCGGAGAGCTTTTGAGATGTTCTCACGAACGAAACGATATCGTTACGCAATCGGAGCTAATAAACGGCTCCGTGGTCGCCTGGCCGATTCGATTATAGGCCATTTGCCCAGAGAGATTTCTAGAGCTACTCGCTTTTTCTTATTGAGAGGTGGGATGGTTCATCTTAAAGTTACTGATGAAAACTATCGTCGATCCCCATTGATTCAGGGGGGTCTGGAAATTCCTGTTGAGGTGATATGAGAAATGGACGATACACCAAGGAACAGGGCAATAATGGAAAGATACAAGACACTCGTAACTACACATTACAAGGAGCCGGGACAGGATGGTCAATTTGACGACTGTACAAAGGATGTATTGGAGGAACTGTGCGAAGATGATTACTCAGATGCCGAAGAAGAAGTTGAGGCGAATCTTGACACTGAGTAACATCTAAAGTTAACAGATGATAGCTCCTTCTACTAACACCTTGTGTTAAAAATTGTTTAGGACCCTTGAAACCTGTTTAGCCAAGCAAAATCAAGCAGGTTCTTATATGTGGGTTACAGCTAAATTATGACAAACAATTTAACAAAGGAGTGTAACTTTGAGTTGTAAATTTAAATACAACAAAAACATACTGTACTATAAAACTATATATAAATTCGGTAAACAGTTTTGTTAGGGTTATAATAACACAAATGTTAATAAGTAAAAAGCTTATTTTTCTGGTAATCGACAATCTATTATTTCCTTCATAAAAATTAACAACCTACTTAGCCTAAATTGCCAATAAGGTACCCCAAATTACAAGAACTTATAATTTATTTGCTAGACTTCAGAAAAGAAGATTCTCATTTCTGTTGCGGGTGTTTACTATACCGCAAAATAACAACTGAATACAACTACACCGTCCATTTAACCGAGATTTCACTAGTACCACAATGATATGAAACATCTATTCAGGGGACACCCTCAGGACCAAAGCAAGTGTCCCTTGAATAGAGGTTCCCCCTGATTAGAAGTTGGGCTGGGGTTTGTTAATAATTAACCAACAAAGACAGCATAAAGAAATCATTACTAGGGACTTTTAGAGGCCACAACGGCGACGACAAACAAAACATCAAAAAGGCAGTAGGCTGAAATGAATAGGCAAAGCAACAACTCTGGATGTGCATCACGCTTTTTGTACATTTTTTTACCATGACTGCATGCCGTCTTATGGAGGACCTAAAGAAGCGACGGCTAAATTATCTTTCTCTTCCTCAGGGGTGTAGCTAGGGTGTGGTCCTGGGGTGCCTGTGAGATAATTGTTTTATGTCCCTATAATTCAGGTGGCCAAAACGCGCGAATCTGAAGAATCAACAAGCGATGAATCTTTTCCAGTGCTAGATTTGTTACTTACTCCATTTGCAGGACCGAAAATCTGTAATGGACCATGCTCTTGTTCGTAACTAAAAGAGAGTAATTTATGCTAGGTAGAACTTAATTAATCTATGCAGCTATTTTGTAGGCTCGTCCCTCTGCCCACCGCTCACTGCTCATCCGAAAAAAAAAATGTCACTTTTAGTAAAACACGGCCTGGATATCGACATGCCAAACTGGTAAGCACTCTGGGTTTGACACAGTGTCACCCCTGCTCTCTCTCCCTGCTATATAATATATACTGCATGGGGTAATGGTTCAACATAATTTGGATTCTTTTTTAAGTCCAATATACAATTTTTTGAAACCTACTAAATTTTTCTAAGTTAATATAATATCAGCTAGAGTGCAATGAACACACTTGGGCCGGCGGCACTTTGAGATTTAAAGAGATATCTTGTTTTTGACAGGCAACTACTGTAACTGTCCTCGTGAACATGACTTGTGATTGGCTGATTGTCACTGAGTGCAGCACTCTGGTTGAGTTTATTGCACTTTACAACAATACTGTACTATAAACAAGCTAGCCAGCACTGCAGGCAATTTTAACCTTCTTTAAACCAACTATGTCTATACTATACACGATATGCTGGCCAACTGCACCGCAGGCAATAAACAAGCCAGATGATATAAAAAGCAGGACTATATGTCAGCTCTAGTTCACCACTTCCCCTAGCTACTTGCAATAAACACACGAATATGATCAAAGAAAGTCCTTTGCAATTTCTTCTGACTCTAAATCTTATAAATGTAAGTTCCTCTATAAGCGTGTTTAAACAATGAAACTCTTTTTTTTTGAAAAATAAACTTAAAGTCAAAGTATATTAGTATCCCAAAAGGTGTCCCCTATCCCAGTACTAACCCCACATAACAGGGCTTAGCTTCACCGAACAAACAGGGCAAGGCAACTAAGAGAATGATACGAACCGAAAACAAAATTAAAGTACCCATAAATGAAATAGCAAAAATAACATAGGCTGCTGACTTTGGGGACCTCAAAAAATAATATTTCAGATCTCAACAACTAAAAGAGTTGATTTTCATACTCCAGGTACTGTATAGTGAAACAGTATACACATGACCTACAATCATACCCGGTATATTTCAATTTCAACCTCAGAAACCCAAGGAAAGCTTACATAGTATCAGAACCACAGGAAGAAAAACAATCAAAAAATCTTACTTCCTGTGGACCAGCCTTAATGGCAGATTTAGATCTGGAAAAACAGCATGGAAAGGTAATTCAACGAAGAGCAGGAGGAAACAATAAACTATTAGAAAAACGGATGGAAACACCATCATCACTTGTCATCGATCTACTGACTAGCATAAGCAACTGTTATTACTGAAGGGAAATACACAAAGAAGGCTGTCAGTCAAGTCCCTGACAACAAAAATTATTAGTTCCTTCCCATGTACCTCAACCTAGATCTCTCCATCTGGTCCATCTCCAAAAACCTGATCACGAGTTATTAATTTTTTCTGTCTTCTCTGGGACACTGGGTTAGTGGGGTTTAACTGGAATCTTTTGCATAATTTATTCCATTTTGATAATGGCATGCAATACATACACAGGGTGCAAAGAAAATAATTTTTACAGCTTGCCATTCGGGCAAGCTGAAGCTAGCATTTACTAGCCCAGAGGTCATTTTAACTGTGGCCCCAAAAACTTTTTGACTAGCAGAATTGATTTCACAGTTCTTTTGTTTTTAACTTGCCCGTTGGGCAAGTTAAAAACAGAATTCACTAGCCGGATAGCAAAATCCACTAGCCCTGGGCTATCGGACACTACTTTCTTTGCACACTGCATACATGTACACGTCCATTTTGTATTATTTGCTGTACGCTGGAATTGGTTTTTGGTCTCTAAATAAGCTATCAAAAATGAACAAATCTCTCGTCAACTCATCTTACCAGCATCTGCTAGGGGTGGATCCAGAAAATTCAGAAAAGGGTGGCTGGGATACTTGCCCACTTGCCAGCTATATAGAAACGTTTTGTTGTTCTGAGAATTCTATAAAAATAAAACAAAATAATTTCAAGGAAAAAAAGCCCTCTTTGGCCCACCCCTAATCCGCCCTTACTGTTGCTTAATGTCACAGCTCCTTTGTTACTGAGAAGAAGCTGATCTAAGGTGCCTCAATCACAGTGAGGTGAAAATTAAAACTCATTGCCCTTTGAGCAAACTGTTGTTAAAGTTTAGTAGCCATAGTAAAGCATTCATGCTGGTCAACCAACCCCAGTCCCCTTTTCTGTAGCATTTCAGATTACTCTCTATCTTGGCAAATGCTGCTTACTCACTGGACACCCATGAGTTGCCTCACTTGAGCCCTGGGCTATCAGATATACAGGGTGTTCCAAAAGTTTGTTCCTCTAATTTCTTGCGCTATAATTTTGATCAAAACTTCATTTTTACATGAAATT